AAGACATGGTATGTGATGCGTGGATGCCCCATGCTACACCAAGACAGCTGCTTGATGTGCTGAATTGACCTGGAAGGTTAGTGGGAGAAGACACGAATCTATTTTGGTGTGCTTTTAGCGAGTTGGTGGGAAAATACCTTTGCGGGTGAGTTGAAAATATTTTCCAGGTTAGTGGGAGCATATTTTGTGGGTTTTAGTAGGACGTGTTTGCATTTGATTGTTAGTTTCTAACTTTTCCACATAGGCTCGTGGCAAAAGGTTAGATATCGAATAAAGGTTGAACCAAACTATCAAACACGGTGACAATCATTGTCAACCAACAAGTGAGTGGGAAGAGAACATGTTGCAGGTTAACTCGAAAGTCACTTTTGCTGGTTAATGTTGACCCTGGATTAGTAAACCGGTGCTAAAAATAGGGGGTCTCCCCCTCCAATAGTAACAAACTCCTACAAAAGGGGGAAGCCCCCTATTGACAAACTGCGGGGTTATTAATCTGGGGTTCCCAATTTGTCATTGTTTCATTACTCTCCAGTTGCCCAAGTGGCAAAACACATTTCCAGTGATAGATTGTCTGTAAACCGGCGGGAATAAACCATGTTAACGAAATTGAAGTAAACAGCCTTCCAGAATGGAACCAACGAATGGAACCATGGAATTACACACGGAATCATAGATGAATCAACCATATTAAGCAAATGAAGCAACCATAATGAGCGAATCAACATTTATCCAGTGATGGATTCCCTTTTAAACCAACACGGGGAATAAACTGGTGGACATCATTTGGGGATTCATGTCCACCAACCACTTGAATCCTGTGGTTCCCTATAAAACTAATGACCAAGTATTCTTAAGCAAATGGAAGGTTTCCATTCATCATCATTTGCTAACCACCCTCCATCAAGTTTGGACAAATAAACCGATTTCCGGTGATAGATTCTCTTTACAACCGGGAAATCAAAAGCAACATGGATATCCTCCACTTGCTGGAGTCCCCTGCACAAAACACCAAAACATATTTCCCCTAGTCTTGGTTGACGTTGGAAGGGGAGCAAACAATTAAAATTTAGCAGTTAAGTTGGAATTTCTTATTAAACCACAATAAGAAAACATGCAACATGTTTCCCAACAACAACCATGGCAACACGTCATTTCCGCAAATGCAAGCACTCTGGGACAGACCACAGTATTTCCCCTTTGTGATCGATTCCCTTTTCAGCAAACGGAAGCTGGGCTGCCCTCAGATCCCCCTCTAAAAGTTTAACTTTTAGCGGGTTAAATGGACACTACCACTAAACACTAAAAAGCTAAAAGGCGAAGGAACCGGACGGCTGCAAATCGCCAAGGAAGATCGAGCGCGTTTGCTTTGCAAGGCGCCAGGTGCCCACCCCGCGCTGCGTGGTGCAGCGGCGTGCGCAGCGTGGCGTCCTGCGCGCCGGACGCTCCTTCCCGGCCCTTTTCAGGTTGCTTAAGAAAATTTGGCCATGAATTTTATAGGGACCCACCGAGCTCAAGTGGTTGGTGGACATGAATCCCCAAATGATGTGCACCTTTGGTTCCCTATTGAGATTCATATTTTGAGGGGAGCTTTTTGATGGCCGAAAGTGGCGAGAAAAAGCAATAGTCCTAGCGCCGCCATTGAAACTAGATCTCTCTTGCTGTGTTTTACTGGCAAGTTCGGTGACCAGCGAATCAGGCAGTGATTGTTTGCGACTCAGCCCCTTGCCAGTTGACATATGCTTGGTGTCGCGCGTTCGGCCTCTGACAGAAAATCGAACATTAGAAGTCGTTTTTTTGGCCAGGGACTTGTACTGATTGCCTAGGGTCTTACCTTATAGTTGCTTCCTTTGGCCCACCTAAACTTAAAGCAAACCGAAATTAGGCTTAATCCAGCAGCAAATGCCCGAAATAGTCCATCAAAACATCTGTTGGCGCGATGTCACCCATTTTGTAGCTGCTAGGGGGCATGGCATACCTCTTCAAACTCCTCATTTGCATTGCGAGCTTTGCCTTTAAGGCTCAAAACGCTGCCATTGAATTGTTCGCCATTGATTACCTGCTCCTCGAACCTTTTGAACAAACGCAGGCCCTCGCAAAAAAGCAGCAACCTTGACTGCTGGCCACCACAAGCACACAAGCCCAACACTAGGCCAAACTTAGACCCGCTGCAAACACATCTCACTTTTTGCATCTGAGCGGGATGAAACCCCTAACGGGACAGAAACAAGCGCCAAAAAGTCTGGACATTAAAGCATTAAAGACTTGGGTCGGAAGGTGTCAAAATGGGAGGGATGCATTTCCTCTTGGTTTCCCTTACGCCAATCAACCACAAGGATACTCTCCCCAGTTTTGAGCTCCATGGTAATTCCTGGTGCCCCGACCGTTGAAAAACCACCCCCGTCCTCGAGCTCCAGGTACGCGCTCCTGTCCAGCCTCAAGGGATCAGGCCGACTTCCCACGCCCCTTGCGAATCAGTGAATCAGATTTGCGCTGCACAAAATGCATTACAGCCAGGGATGCTCTAACAATCGAGGGGCAAGGGCCTCAAATTATATAGACAAATAATTGCGATTTGCAGAATAACACGGAAATCCAAAAGCCCTCCTTTGCAAAGGAATCTGCTTTTGGGGGAACGTCTTTCTCTGTGTTCCTTCCGTTCAATTCACGGAAGAGTCGTCCTGTTTCGGGCGTTTTCGAGCTCAGCGGCAGCAGCTGCGCCGTGGCTCTGTGGCCCTTCTGCGCCGCGAAGTGCAAAGGCGCGCGGCCCATGTCGTCCCGGGGCTGCAGGGCGCCCGCGTCCAACAAATGGACCGCCGCCGCCTGGCGGCGGTTAGCTGCCCTAACCGCTGGGGGTGGGGTGGGGGGGACCTCTATGGTTAGAGGCTTGAGGTCGCACTAAGGGAATCCTTTGCCACCCCTGAATCTCTGCCATCTTGCTAACATGCAAATGTGTACGATATTGCTTGCTCTGGCTGGAAAAAAGTCACGGATCTGCGCACAAAGTGCTTCCCAGAGAATGGTTTGCGTTTGTTGATGTCTTGCCCGGCCATCAAGCACGGAGCCAGTCGCGGAGCCGACAGGTGCACGGTCTTTTTTCACGTTATTCATGTGCCCCACCTGTTGCATGGGGGATTTGAGAGTACCCAAAGTCTTTCCCTTCGCCACGCCCCCCCCGCCCCCCCTCCGGCAACTTCACACCAAGGGGGGTGGGTTCCTCCAAAAGCATTTCTCTACAAATGACTTGTTTTCTGGGTTCCATGTGAATCGAGACATTAATAACACCATTTGGTGGATTTAAATGGGGCTCCTGCACTGGAACCCACCGACTGTGGACGCCTGGTTTGGCCACCCTTGATTTTGAAGGGAGCCCCTCTCCAACGGAGAAAGGGGACCCCCCCTCCAAAACCCTACACTAAGAAACCCAAAGCCTCCAAAATCTCAAACAAAACAGCCAAAGAACCCCCCCCCCAAAAAAAAACACACACACAAAAGCCTCCCTTTTTTTGTTTTAAAGAGAGAGACAAAACCGGACCGGGGCCTGTTGGCCATTGAGCGCCGCCACGTGCAAGGGTGTCTCCCCATCCTCTCCCACGCCTTATGCCGTCTCGATTCTGCCTTGGACCCCCCAAACGGTCTTGGCGTTCCAGGTGCCTTCCTTTTTTAAGCAATCTACGTCGACCCCCCAAGTGGTGTTGGTTTCCCCGGTGCAACCCCAAAAAAGGGTGCCATCAAAAAAAGAGAGACCCAACCTATGGTTGGTTTCCTGCTTGGCGCGCAAAAGCTGGAGTGGGTGTGGGTAAGGGACAAACAGTTGGCTTCTGCCCCTCCTTTGAAATACCAACCAAAGGGGGGTCCATTTTGAGAAACCCTCAAATTTGACACCAAAAGCCTGTTCGACCAATGTTCGACGGGTTTGGTCACGAATTGCGGCTCAGAGCAACCCCGAAAGACGGCAACTCTAGGTTTCTAAAGTGAAATTGCGACCCACGGACGAAGTCCAAACTTTTTGTTTGCCACTAAAATGGTCCAAACAAAAAAGCGGCGAGCAAGTCCGAACGAAACTTGATCGGACGTGAGGAAACTGAGGAAACTGATTTTGCTTTTCCAGACCGAATGGGAAACCGTTTTTGGAAACCTCGTTTTGGTGGGAAAGAGCTGAATCTTTCTGGACACTTTACTCTCACTCCACCTGATCCCAGAATTGGCTCCCCAAGAATTAGGACCTTGGGCTCGGGGGAAAAAATAAAAAACACAAACGGATCCATCCGTGAGCTCTTTCCGCTCTTTCCGCCTTTTCCGCTGAAGCCGGGCCGCAGGACACCAGCTCCTGCTGAAGGCTCAGGGCCAGTTGCTGCAGGTCCCCCCGCTCCGCCGCCGCCAGCAGCGCCTCGCTGCACGAAGCCGCGGAGGCCGCCAGAGGCCAGGCGAGGAGCAGGCGCGCCATGCGGAAGGCGCGAGGGAAAGGACCTGTTGCGTGCCTTCTTTCCTGTCCTTCTTTACTTTATTTGACTTGTGTACTTTATGAGTTTGGTTTACTTGACTTCTTGTGAATTGTCATTCTCCTCTTGAAAGGCAACAACTTGACTGACCCAGCGTTGCCCCCTGACTGCAATTCTTGGACTTGTGAGGTTTGGGCCCCTTTTTTTCAGGATCCCACAGCTTGTCGGGAGGGGTGACATTATTGGGTCTGATTGGACGCTGTTGGTTGCATTTTTTGGCTGGCTGGCTGCTTGCCTGTTTGCTTGCTTGCCTCCTTGGTCTGTTGGTTGGTCGGTCAGTGGGTTAAAGTCCTTGGTGCTGGTTGGTGCGCTCAAACGCGGTATTTTAAACCACCCAACTGCGGGAGGAATCGGTCCCTGTTTCTGAACAGTTGAAACCAGGATCCGCAACTTTCACCGTCAAAAACCGAAATTCTCTCCTACCAATGGCTATAACTTCCCACTCCCTCCCAAAAACACACACAAAAAAGGATCCGCACCTTACTGGGTCTGACAACTTGCCTCGATCACCTCCTCGCTCGGTGACTCCGAAGAGGTCCTCCAGCTTTGGGCCGGCCCCCTGCCAGGTGCGCTCAGAGCGTCGGAGCTTTGAGCCCTACAGATTGTTCCAAAATGCCTTGGTCATTGCTTTGAGCTTGGGAGCAACTCTTGCGCGACCTCTCTAGTGGCTTTCCGCGGGAGCGAGAGGGCTCTGGAGCTGTTGCGGGTCACTCCCGGTGAAACGACGAAGCCAAAGAACCGGTGCCGAAGTTGACAGGGATCCTATGAAACAGACCCGGCTGGAACAAATAAGACGCTCGCACTGGGACCTGTGGCCATGGCATCAAACATCTTAGCTAGGTCCTCCAGTAAGGGGAACCCTCCCAACCAAAAAAGGGGGTGAGAAAGGGCACTACTGGGGTGTTCAGATTCGAATCCATACTTCCGTGTCCGTGTTGAACTCCTGGGTCCAAAAGGCTCGGCAAATTTGGCGACCGGCTCCGAGCTACTCAGCCCCAGGCCACGAACTGCGGGCAAATGTGCCACCTGAAGGACTCCAAGCCGAGGTCGATGGCCCGGATTTATGTGGAAGATCCGTTCCCAGAAGGCTCTTCCGAAACGGGGCTTGGTCAAAAGAACTTGGTTGAACTTGGACGGGGAGCAACATTTTTTTTTAATTAAATTTTAGCAGATAAGTGGTTGGATTTCAACCACTAAACCACAATAAGCAAAATGTAAAATGTTTCCCAACAACAACGATGAGACCAGCCGTGGACCCTGCAGCCTTTCCCCAGAACGCCCAACCCCCCCCCCGCCCTGAACAGGTCCGAAGGAAACCGACATCAAGAACACCTGTGACGTGACAGGTAAGCCGGTAGCGCTTTGGGTTGATTGGAGATGAGGTATTGGTGCCCCCCAATGACTCGAGAACAAAAAACAACACCAGGTGCAGAATTCCAGGCCACCAATCCAAACCAACTAAGGATTTCTTGAACGTACACGCTCAAATTTCCGCAAATAGTGGAATCTGGGCGAATCAAACGCTGGCACCAAATTTTGTTGAAGGCATTTCGGCCTGCTGCAGTGCACCGAGCAGAGATACCAAGAAGCAAACGCTGTGTGAATGAAGGCACATCTTGGGCGAATGGTGAACAAGCACCCAATGGCTTTCTTCATTTGCTGGGTGTGTTGGACCAAAAGAAAGTGAACAGCTTCTTATTCATTGCTGTTTGCTTCATCGATTCAGTTCCTCAGAAACCAACTGCTCCCCTGGGCCCACCAGCTGCCCCTTAGGGCGCACCAGCCACACACCTAGTACGTAAAAGACAATCAACGAACACTTTGCACATCTGCGTCATGGTCAAACCGCTAGGAATCGCCACAACCATTGTCTGAACACTCTCCTCAAGGCTTCATTACCATCAGTTTGGGGAGGCTATCACGCTCACCTTCCCCCAATTCCATCTTAGCCGCCCCCCAGAGAAGAAAAGTGGAACTGCAGGGCTCACCCTCCTCAGTTTCATGTTCAAACGGGTGGGGATGAGAGACAACAATAACCATAGCCAGGAACTGATCTACCCACCTTTCATTCCTTACGTCACCAGTGCCGACTTCACTGGGCATGTGATTTGGAGGTGAGGATATGGATGGCAAAGAATCAAGGAACCTCACATATCCCCCACCAGTAGCATGACGCTTGCAGCGAAGGGTTTTCAACTCAGTTCCCCTGCGGCGTCGAGCTGTTTCTCTTGGGCTCCCGGCCTCTCCTTGTCCCCGCAAAAGTACATGAAGTGGGATTCGTCCGAGCCCTGTCGGGCAAAAAGCAGCGGAAGGAGGCTGGGCTTCTCTTGAAAGGGTTGTAACCAATCCAAGGGCACAAAGCTTCTTTTCAGCTCCGTCTTGGTTCCTTAAAGGATACATCCAACCACGGCTTCCTTGGAATCCTGCAAGTCGATTTGCGGGGATTGGCTGTTACACTAGCCCGTATTCGCTTTACTTATAAACCCCTACGTCAGCAACACTTTGCTTTTTAGACGGCACACTTCATTTCCTTTACACGGCTAAAGGAGATGAAAAACCATGGGTTCGGCCATAGTGCCATCTCTTTTGGCCTAGCTGTACAAACAAACAGCAAAAAACAACAACCACAACAACTACCCTTCCTCCCACTAACATGGCAATTTGTTGGAGGGTACCCGGAAGACAAAATTTGTCTGCAAGGGGCCAATGCCCTGTCAGGTGCCATGGCAGCGTGGGAGGCCTGTTTGAGCAATGGCCGGGCCCTGCCTTGCTGCCTTTCCACCAGGTGGGCTTGTGGCAAATGAGGTCCTATGCGTCGCGAACTCCAAGCAGTCACTGAGCTTATTACCTAAGGGGGGTTCCCTTGGTATGATAGAAAAGCGGCCATTCCAAAACCGCTTTTTGGCGCAACCATCGGCACAAATGGCTAGGGCCTGCATGATGAGTGAAAACGCTGGTCTTACCCCACGACTAATGCAAACGCAACACACATGCGCACCCAAATGCGCAAGTGGATTTGCATCTAGGATCCCATCGTCGCTTCATGAGGAAAAACAGCACGTGTATTTGTCTAGGCCAGTCGTGGAGGAAACTTCGCCCAAATGGCATCACTCCCTTCCGAGTTCTTGCCAAGCTTCGCATACAGCTGACTCAGGCAATGCTGCAAGGGCTAGCTTCACGTGATTCACCCTGATTGCAACAATCATGGGAGTGGACGATGCGGATTTTGGACGACTACCAACATCTTAAAACAAGCCCTCTACCTGGTTCCATGCTAGTTGGAAGGAGCTCCAAAGTCGGTAGTTTTAAGATATGGTACTACGGCTCCTACCGTTTATGTGCAACATGTTTGAACTTAACTATGGATTGTTGGTTTGTGACATGCTTGACGCACTCATAGTTCCAAGGGCGGATTGCCCCACCGCATTTCAACAGGCAACAGTCTTGCAATTGCGGCCACAGTACACCAGCGGCAATCCCCAAGGTCTGTTGACGAGAAACCCTTCACAGAGTAGCGCCCCCCCCCTGGCGAGCTCCCTATAAGTTGCTCGGCAACATATCAGCTCGCTGGTACAAAGGCTAGAAGTGGAAGAAGCGTCGGGGAGTGAATAGCCCCCTCCCGCCCACCTAGAACACACAAGAAGGGGAAATATTGTCTTGCTCAGCTTTTTCTCCCCGCAACCCAAAAAACCATTTGTACGGGTCCATATTTAGCGAACCTTAGAACGTTGATATCCAAAGTCCCAGACTTCGGCCCTGTCGCTTTTTCTGGGGATGGCGCAGCACGGCTCCGCTGGTAGATGCCATTGAGGTCTGGGTTCCTGAAGCCGTAGATCTCATACCTGGCTGACGCCCGCGAGGGCTGACCCAAAAATGGCAACCAGCTGCCCGGTGCCATCCGAAGTTGTTGCCAAACTCGAAGCCAGGAGTTTTCCCCAAAACTAAAAGGTGGCATTCCCAAAAATGAAGAATCCCAGAGGGGACACCCCCTACCAGCAGCAGGTCTTATACCGGGCGCGACTCGAATCGTACAGCCTTGCACCTGTCGCCCGTCTTCAAGAAGGAAGCAAAGGCGGGTCAGTTGCCGAAATAGCAATTCAAGGCAAAACATTGGCAATGGCACTTTTGAACAGGCAGGCAGCTGACAGCGGATTCCATTCATGGGCATGGTGATTCTTGGGCAATCACGCACCTTACGTGACGCACACTTGGACCTCGCTGCATCTATTGCGGATTGCAGAAGGTCTTGGGCATGGTGGCAAATCACCTTTCGGCCTTACAATAGCCCATAAAGTAGTTACCTCAAGCAGTCTAGGTCCTCCAGTACAGAGGTTAGAATAAGGGTACTCTTTCTTCTGTAGTCTGTTTTAGTAGGGGAACCTTCCCCAAAAAAAGGGTACAAGGGCACTACTGGGGGACCTAGCAGTGGCAGAACCACCTACAAGTACTTTTTTGGGCGCTAATTTCCCTCCGGCCTGTCTACCGTTGAAGCTTCGTCCTGGCCCACTGGGGTCTCCTGCCAGAAAACGTATGCGGGCGAATGGCTACATCTTGGTTGACGTTGGAAGGGGAGCTTAACAAAAAAACAGTTAAGTGGTTGGATTTCAACCACTAAACCACAATAAGCAAAATTGCAAAATGTTTCCCAACAACAACCATGACATGGTGCCGCGTTTATCCCAAGCCTTGGGGACAACCACTGCGACGTTTCTTTGGCTCACTAACAATGAGCAGAACCAGCCGAGACACATGCAACAGTTTGGTGGCTACCTGAGTTGGTGGCGATCTTGAGAGGGTAACGGTGAGCCAACGGCAGAGCAAAGTTTGGGATACGCCTTGACAGGCCCTGACAAACACACTGGACACAAATACAACCAGCATCTGCCGGACTCACTTGAGCCTGTTTTCACTGGCACCTGAGCGCAAACTCCTGCCCTTGAACAAAGAAGCAGAAACACAGGCAACACCACTTTCGATCAGATCCTTTGATCTGGACGATGAATGGGAAAAGGTGCCCCACGGGGTCAAACAGCCAAGTGTGGGGGTTGCCCTTTCACCCTCGTAGAGGAATAGAGGGATCTAAAAGGGCGCTTCAGTGTTCGATAGTGTTAGGGAATCCTGTCTGCATTTTCGCAAGGCCTCAAAAGCGCTTCAGCCCTTTTGCTGGATGGACTCACCCGGTCCCGCAATGGGACCGGGTAGCAGCAATGGGGTTGACCTGCTGTCAAGTTTGGCAGGCGCTCAGGTAATGTTTTCTGTTTTGCCAGGGTTGTCCTGATTTTCATGGCCCCTCCGCCACTCTTCATTTCTTTCTTTTCGAGCGTGCTTCCGGCGTTGGCCAACAATCCTTCCAAGCATGGGGCTGGGGATCTGAAATGATTTAGTTCTTGGGGCAATTTTGCTTCGCCCCCATGGCAGCGCACTGCAAACCGCTTGGCTGTTCGTTCTCATTCTCGACATCATGCTTTTGAACATAGCCTGAAACTGGGAATCCCCAGTTTAGGGATCTGAATAGACAAAGACGAGGGTCCCGACTCGGTAAAATCTGCGGAGGGAAGCCCAAAGCTGGTCCTTAGGCTCTTCCGGTGGGGGCGCCCCCACATCCGTGGCAGTCTGGCCGGGGAATTACGTTCAGAGGCGACCGATCGATCGTTCCCTGTGCAACAGGCTTTCCTTGATCGAAATCCGTTGCCGTCGCACCTTGAATAACATCCTCCAAAAACGTTGCGGCCACAAAATACTTTGCGAGCACATTGCATGTGCATTGCACCACATGCCCCCCCAAGCGCTTCGCCCAGAAGTGTGTTCCCAGGTCCCAATCCTTATCGAACGTTGGCATTGGCTTCTTTTGCCCTTCCTTCAGGGAAAGTGTCCTGAAGTTCTGCCCAAGCTTCGAATGGCAGCAACTCTGGTCACCCTCACCCTCTGGTCCTTTCAGACATGGGAAAATAAATGTAGGGTCCCGGAAGGGTTCCTCTCGCGTTTGGCTTCTCTTGGCTTCTCAGGATCCTACTCAAGTTCCCACCCTCTCGGGGGCAACCCTGCTAACCCAGGTACTGATCCACATTCGGGCTCACACAAGTCCACATTTTGGCTCCAAGGACACATCCAGCCAGCTTTGGGGATCCTCAGGTCTTTGGGGCCGATTTCTCACTGAAAAGAGGCGCGGCTGAGATTTTCGCACCTGGGCCCTGCCTCGGCCACTAAAGCCAGCGATGTGTTCTCTTCCGGCCTAACTTTGGAACCCTTTGCAACGAGTTGAAAAGCACATCGCTCAGGACACCTCGAAATCTCGACGACTTTCTGGGCATCGGATCAAGCGCAGGGTGTTTATTTGTTCTTCTCCTCCATGCGAAGGGAACATGGAAACAACTGGAACTGCTTGCCCACAAGTGCCACTGGAATGACTTCAAAGGTCTTGGGGCTTTCCCTTCAAACCCTTGGACAACGCAAAAAGAAACACACATCCGCCCAACTCGGTTGAAGCAGCCAAGAACAAGCTCAACAACAATGCATCCACCAACAGTCAACCGACACACAGTTTCATTGCCACAAACAGGTCCGGGACATTCCTGTGACCCCCCTTCCTTCCACAAGTCAGCATCATTTAGGGTAGCTTCAAGCATCATTTGACACGCGGAAACTTCCAATGACGCTGGAAACAAGTTAGCTTCAAGCCAAGTTTGGAAACAAACTAAAAAACATGACTTTGGATCTTCCATCGAGTGAATTGGGAAGTCCCCCCCTTGCCGACCCCACGGCACTCCCGCCGCCCTCTCAGGTCCGCGGCGCATCTTTGAGTGGCTGCAGGCCGTCTTGGCGCGGCGCATCTTGTGGCTGGAGAGCATCTGGGCAAGCAACGATGCCACAACAGGCGGCCATGGGAAATTGGCGAACCTTTTTTGGAGTTTGATTTTAAAGGAAGGCCTCCCCCCAAAGATTAAAGTCAGGCCAACTCCGGAGGGCATGTCCGATGGCTAACTGGCTCCGCAGAACTTGGACTGCATAGTGCATCGGGGAAAAAGGAACTGCATGGGCTGGAAAACGCGAGAACTGGGGAAGACAAGAGGGCCAAACACACCCCGCGCGAGACATCTTTGGGAGGTGAGCAACAAGTGTCGCGCGCTTGGCTTTCATGGCAAACGTGCGTCAGTGGAATTTGCAACTTCTTGGGTAATTTCTTGTGACTGCATCCAGTTCGAGCGCTGCAGCGGCCACAAGATGGGCCTAATAGTTTTTGTTCAAACACGTTTCAAGGGGAGGGCTGTTTCAAACAACTTGCATCCAATTTGGCCTCTTCCCCTCCGTGGTTCAATTGTGCCATAGAACTTTGGATCAATCTCTTTTGGCCAGGTGCTTTGAAGACATATTCAAACACACTTGCGTGCCAAAGCAGCGGAATGAAGACATCTGATTTGTCCAGGAACTTTCGACCAAGATGCTGGCACGTTTTGACACAAGCTTCAGGCACCCGAGAAATCCTCCCCCGAGAAAGCCCCAACGGTGGCGTTACATCGCCTGGTTTGGCCCGAAGGCTTTTTATATAAGGCCTGCTTAAGATCCGAGGTGGGGAAGCAGCCTCTTCAGCAAGAAGCCTCTTGGAGAACATGGAACCCAAACCGTCAGACAGCCTTCGCTTTTAGAGGAAGATCTGAGTTCTTGGGGAGACCTTGTTCTGGGTTTCATGGGGAAATACGCGCGCGAGGCTCTGGGGCGCTGACGTTCCTCCTCCTCCTCCTGAGGGTCCTGAGGGCTCGCAAAGACCAAGCGGAGAAAGGAACACCGTATCATGAGGGATCCATCGTCGCATTTGCAACTCAGATTGCTGGCTTTCGGTCATATCCGATCCTTGCCTGGGGCGAGAGGCGGCACAATCTGTAGGCGTCAAATTGGGCGCCATGCGTGACTTCCAACGCAAGACGCCACCGGTCACGCAGCAAACTAATCTGCGGCACACCCTGAGACTTGACTTGAAAACATCAAGCCATCTACTTGGACTGATCCAGACTACTACACTTCTTTCCTGTTTCCCGTACCCCCTGAGCCATCCTTCAATGGGGTACCCGGCAATAAACATCTGAGGTATGTAATCACCATTGTTACCCTTGATTGGGTTCAGAAAAGTCAAGCACGGCCTCCTGGCAAAACACCATAGTGAGGAGAGGTGACTCTGCACAAGCGCTGCTGGCCACCCGAGCTGTACAACAACTTGTTGCTCAACAGCGCAAGGAAGCGATCAAGTCATGTAAGTCCATGCACCTATGAGCCCACCAGCCATCCGCCGTCTGCACGCCTGCAACAGCCCCTATCACACAAATGAAGGGGGGCGAGTCTGGGCCAAGTCTAAGAACTCACCTTCCCAAAGCATGGAATCCCAAACATAAAACTTGAGGCATCCCCTTGTGGGGGGACCCCCTGCCTGGTTCCACGCTTATGACTGGACATGTCGAAAGCCAGCGATCGGCAAAAGATATTTGGCCCAGCTCGAATCTCACATCCACTTTGTTTTCGCCCGATTCTGAACCCAAGATTTGCCATTCGCCGCTTGGGGAAAAACCTCCACTCTTCGCATCTGAGACAAACAAAACGCCGACCCCCAGGTCCCTCACCTGAACTGAGTGAGCTCCTTCTCCACCAAACATTGGCCAATCCCTACCAGGTGCCTCACCAGAGCTCCGAAAGCCGTTTTGCTCTCAACCGAGGCCCGATGTCCAGCAACAAGTCCCCAGCCAGGCCTCCAGAAAGGCCTTCAGCTCCTGCACCGCCTGGGCCTGGAAGCAGGCAACCCATGGACAACCCGCATGGGAAATAGGACCAAAGATGGGAATGGGTTCCATGGGGAAACCCAAAGATGAAAGGGTGCAAAGGCCGGCTCGCTTTGGGCAAAGGATGCAGTTGGAAGGGGATGACTGAAGCCAAATGGGAAACTGTGCCATCTACTTGCACCCGAATGCAATGCAAGGGGCTAAACTATACACTATTCTCTGACGATCATGACCTATTGGTTCTTACTATTTAGAGGCCTTGTAGTACACGCCCATATGAACCCATGCCCATTGGGTGCCCCCGTTCACTTGGCAGAAGGGAGCCCCTCGACCCAGGAAACGACGTCTCAACTTCTTGTGCGAGAAACAAACAAACACCTTGAGGAGATGCAAGCGCCCACGCAGTTCCAACATCTGCATCGGGCCAGCAAGGAGTTCACTTAGCCGAAAAGCCATCCAAGCAGGCCAAGCAATTTCCCCAAAGGGTCTACCTTGGGGTACCCCAAAAATAGGAACCGTGGGGCAAACAGCTTGAGTCAAACAGTTTTTACACCAGCACTCCGAAGCTCATGTTCCTGCGCCGATTGGATCGTCATAAACTGGGCGGGGGATTCCTGCCTTCCAGGATTGTTTAAACAAACTGCTGGGTGGCTCAAATATCGAACCATTCTGCATCCCATTCCAGCTTCCTGATAGTCCATATAGCTCAGCTGGCATGTAGCTGACAACCCTAGGGCTGTGTCGGTGCCATGTCTCAGCTTGCCTTACAATAAAACACTTTGATTTGCTCGATTCATCCTGGAACAAAGTAAGAAACGAAATCCGGTAGTGTTAGATTTCCGTTAAACCCCACCAAGGGAAATAAAGCACATTCTCAAGCAAATGGAAGCCCTTGGGGAGTGCCGGTTGCGATTTTGACACCTCACCTTCACCGGTGCACGGCGTCAGCGCCCACTTTGAGCTGAGAGCGCCGCCGCCTTCTTGGCATTGGCATCCTGCCTGCGATACGGCCCTTGCTAGGCCTGGTCAACCCCCTCCTCCCGCTAAGCTTCAGCCCGCTGTGGCTAATGCTGGTGTCTCAACCCTTTTGGTGCAGCACAACGGCCCAGTTGTTCAGCGACCCTGGTAGAAAGGGTCCAAAACACATCCAGTCCCCAGGATGGTAGGCTTCAGACTGCCCATGCGGAAGGCTTCACGTGCTGAACCTAGGATGCTGACCCAGAGCTCCAGTGGCCAGAGGGAAAAGAATTCGCGTGAACATGGATGGTGACCTCGAGGCCCCTTGCATAGGGTGGAGCCCGTACCATGGTCGCATGATCATTGCTACAAGGGGGGCAGTTCGGAAACCTTTGGCCTAGCTGGCAGTGCCGGCAAGCGATACATGCAACAACAAGTAGTAGCCGTAGTAGTAGTAGTAGTCGTGGTGGCGGTGGTAGCAAGTCGCAGCAGGAGTAGCAATAGTCGTAGCAACAGCAGCAGCAATAGCAGAAGCACAACCAAGTTAAAGTTGTAGTTGGAGTTGCTCTCGCTCTTCTTGTTCTTCCTTGTTCTGCTTCTTCGTCTTCTTCTTGTTCTTCTTGTTGTTCTTGTTGATCTTGTTTCTCTTGTTGTTCTTGTTGCTCTTGTTGTTCTTGTTTCTCTTGTTGTTCTTGTTGTTCATGTTGGTCATGCTGTTCATGTTGTTCTTGTTCTTGTTGTCGTCGTCGCCGTCGTCGTTGCGTAGCAGGGCTCGCTCCAAGAAAGCTGGCACTGGATGCTATGCCACAGGTCCGGCCTCCCAGAAACATCACGCCGAGAGGATACTTGCCCAACGTTGGTCCAGAAAGTGATGGCACCACTGGCTGCAAAGGGAAAGTCAAAGGTGGCGCACGCCACGCCAGTGTGATGCGACTCAACATGTCCGAGCCCACCAGACCCTTTCTACAATGGAAGTCTCATGACAATGATGCGGTCAATATCGATAGATTCTATGTCATGCTAAGGTTCCTATCATGGAACATAAGAAAGGCTATATGGACATGGGCAATTGCTGTTGCACATTTACAGACGTCCCAAGGGACCTACATCACTGGGCTGTTCAAAACGGACTGTCCGACCCGACGCCATACTTTCTTATTGGCAAAACCACGGGGACCAAATCCTTTCTTAACCCAAAAACGTTTTGCAGATTGCTTTAACCCAAAAGTCTTGCAAATGGCTGCTTTTTGCAGAGCCCTGGGTGAAATCCGTGTAAGCGCTCGTCGAAGTCTTGCCTGGCTTGCTCCGCCTGCCGTGCATTGTGTGGAACGGGTTGGTTCATATGGGTGGCGGTTCCCATTTGTTCTGTGGGCAAACAACCAGCGAGTTCCGAAATCGGATGCGAAAAGCACATGGATTGTCTGGATGGATGCGACCAGAACCCGTTTGTTAGAACCAGTTGAAGGGTCCCCTGAGAGATGATGCCCCTCCCCTTCTCCTCCCCGGAGAGGGCGGTGTAAGCAATTTTTGCTCAACCAACCTCTCAGGGGAGAACATTCACGTGCCCAACCCTACCCTGATGAGCGCTGAAGGTCCGGGGGCATCTGCGGATTCTAAGCCACCAAAATTGGTGATGGGGGGGCAATCCGAATCGCTGTTTGTGTAATTTCCGCGGCTTAGTTTTCGTTCAGGTTCAGACGAAAGGGCAACCGCTGCCGCTGCCACCGAAGTGACATTCTCGAAACTCTGTAATTGGTGGTGGGAAGGACCGACTGCAACAGCAGCTTTCAGCCCCCATCCCAAAGGTTCTGGGCCCCAACAAAACACATCTCAAGTTTGGCGCCCGAGGATTTCCTTACACAACATGTTCAAGTGAAAGAAGTAAACCAAGAAGAATCCAATGCCCCCTGTTGAAACTCCGAATGTGCGAAATACCTGGCCAGAAATTGGGAAGGCAGCCAGCCGCGCATGCCACCCATTGACAAAGGGCAGTGCCCAAGATCCCCAACCTTTCTGGGGTTGGTTGGTTGGGGGAGGGGGTTGGCAAAAACAGGAACAAGAAAGAGAGAGCGGACCGCAAGCTAGCACCGTTTGCCAGAAGTGCCAGTGCTGCCTTCAACCAGGAAGGCAAATCCAAGCAGGAACACGTCTGGGCAAAATGTAACGGCCGATGAGAAACAGTCCAGTCCAAACAAATCAGGATCGAACATCAGCCTGCGCCATGGCAAAACCACATTTTTTCCAGATGATTCTCATGCGGAAAGGGTGCCAAAGCAATTAATTTGCCCACAATATTGCCCACACCTCCCTAAGTACAAGCCTCAAGCGAAGGTTCCAAAGCAATTTTTGGTGCTGGCAATCGATCAATCTTTTCAACTCAAGGGAGATTCCCGGTAATTTTATGGTACTGAGGATATCCCTGGCTCTTCAAGGGAAGACTAGAGAGCCCCTGAACAACGGTAAAGACTTTTCCAACAGATCCGATGGAATAGCCATTGGTTCCAGTGCCTTTGCGAAGAGATGCTCCGACAAGCAACATGTTCTTAGATTTCGTGGCATCCGAATCCGCAACGTGCCTGAGAAGGGCTACCAACCTCGACTTGCTTGTTGTAACGACGCCTCTGCACAAAGCTTTTCGCTTTTTGTGGCTGCAACTCGGAAATGCGTTTCCTGGGTGTGGGGCAAAATTAAGCCACCGGGGGACCGCAGATTTTAGTCCTTGGCTCCATTTACCAGGGTTCCATTTTGGGTACCTATTTTTGACCCGCAGCCTCCTGTTTCAATCAAAAAGTTGCCCAAAGGACCTGTCACCAAATAGCCAATTCGAGACGGAAGGCTCCGTGCCTGAGCCAGCTGTGCCATGTGCGGCGCTTCAGCGGGGCCTGCGCTCGAGGAAGCGCAGTGTTGGCTTTCAAAATTATGGATTTAAGGGAGGGGCCGTGTACTTAAGGGTGGGGCTTTTTTCAGTGTTGCTGAAACCCAATGGTTTTCAATCTCGTGTGTTTTCGAAGCTGAACAGCCCGAAAAGGCTATGTATTTTTGGAACAATGCAAAATACGGACTTGATGTCATTGCCTTGTTGGAGCGTTTGAGACTCACACCCGGCGAATGTTTTTTTGGCATTTTCTGACTCAGATCACACATGTTGCAAACCAGAGCAAAATCAGTATACACTGTCAGTGGCATTCAGACCAGACCATTTGAGGAAATCAGTTTGTGGGGGGCTAATTATGGATGTAAGCTAATTATCAAGGTCGTCCGCTGCACTTAAGCACGTTTCTGGCGCGATTAGCCCGATTGAAGCAGGGTGTGAACAATTGGTGAGGATAGACATGTTTTCTGGATTTGGCGATGTCAGCAATGAAAAACGCAGCACATACCCCAGTTTCAGCGCCAGCCTTTGTCAGAACCCCCCACGGAAACACCCATGGATCCAAGCAATTCACTGAGGCAAGGCCCAATATCAAATAAACATGTACTCACGTGTTTCAAGGTCAAAAAAGGCAGGCCCATACATCAAACAAAGTGGCGTAAGGTGGAACTGAGGTGAATGGGAACATCAACAACTGAGCCCATGTATCAAGAGACGGTGCAAATTGCTACTGTGACGCAAGCAATTATCCGGCTTGCCTTTACTGCGAAACCAGCATTCTCACGACTTTTGCTCTGCCAGCTTGAGATTCAACATACGCCGCAGCGCAAGTGACTTTTACTTCGGCACAGCCAATAAAAGTTTAGTGCAAGGCTCAACCAACATGCCTTCAGTGCGGCTAAAGGGCGGATCAAATTCCTTAAGCGCACCATCCAAATTTAAGCTAATTAACCGGCAGCAAAAATTGCTCAAGTGCAGCCAACATTTAAGTGCAGCCAAAATTCCCTAAGTCCCGGAAAAACTCCTTAAGTCCGGAAAAAAATCCTTAGTTCCGGAAAAATCCTTAATTCATTCCCGCCAAAATTCTTTAAGTCCGGAAAAAATCCTTAACTGCGGAAAAAAGTCCTTAATTCCGGATTAATTAGCTTAAATTCAGGGGGGGGGGGTGAACTTAAGGATTTTGGCCTTTGCCCGAGATGAAGTTCGAGGTGAAATTAGTGTTTTTCATTGCCAAAATAGCGTTTTGTAGCTTGAAAAACACTAATTTCACCCCGAACTTCATCTCTTAAGCTCAGCCCCCCCCCCCTGAATTTAAGCTAATTAATCCGGAATTAATGATTTTTTCCGGAAAATTTTCCGTTGGCGGGAATGAAGGATTTTTCCGGACCTAAGGTTTTTTTCCCGGGACTTAAGGAATTTTGGCTGCGCTTAAGGAATTTTGGCTGCACCTAAGGAATTTTGGCTGCACTTAAGGAACTTTGGCTGCACCGAACATTTCCAGGAAATGTTGGCTGCACTTAAGGAACTTTGGCTGCACTTAAGGAATTTTGGCTGCCAGCTGATTAGCTTAAATTCGGGGGGGGGGGGGGCACTTAAGGAACTTTGGCCGCACATGAGGAATTTCCGGCTGCACCACAACAATTTTATTGCACGTGCTAAAGGAAATTCGTCTGCACTCAACGAAATTTGGCTGCACTAACATTCTTGGCTGGCCGTGCTTATGGAATGTGGCCCGGTGATCAAGGCAGGAGCTCCCCCTTGATTACTAGCTGCCCTGACTACAGCACCATCTCCATATGCTTAGCGCTGAACTGAGCCCCATTCTCACGGCCTTCGCTCTAAGCTATAAACTATCAACCATCATCCATGCATTCCCACTGACCCTTGCCATCGCTCCCCATTTGGCAATATGTGTCACCACGGCGAAAAAAACAACAACATTGTGCACTTCTGACATGCGACGTTTTTGATTGCGACACGGCTCGGTCCCACCATGCTAGTTGCTCAATGTTTCAACAAAAACTGCTCTTGTCACACACACACACAAATTCTGGAAATAAGCAAAGTTGCGGGCCGACTCTTAAGTACACGGGCCCCCTTAAATCCATATTGTTTAAGGATTTCTTGACTCAGCGATTTTGCCTATCGGGTAATTCAGCATTTTTTTAAACAAAAAAACGCAACACAGTGACCCCACGGGATTTGACAGGCTGCCCTTCCAGTAGTGAATTGCTTTGACGAAGGCGTTTGCATCCATTGTTGCTGCCAAATGCACTTTCTATAGCGCAGCCGGTTTTTGCATTGTTTTCACGAGTGCCCAAAAACAAAAAAAAAAACATTCAATCGTGTCCCGGTTCTGACATGTGCTCCGATCAGAGGTGCAGACACAGGAGCAGGGCTTAAGTGCACGGGTCGGACCTCGAAATTAGCTTAAATCCATAATTTGAAACACCACAGAGCGCAGACTTAGAGAGAAACACCGGCCTGTGGAGGTAGGAATTGCCTTTCCCTTCAACCCCGCTGCAGATGTATACCCACATCTGTCTCTGCATCTTTATGCATATATATATATATATCATGTACATCCATATTATCCGCATGCATGAATGTGAATCTCAGAGGCCAGGCCAATAGATAGGTGTTGTCGAATTCAAAGGCCAACACCACACTCAAAGAGACAGGGAACCATGTATTTGCCAAAAGCATCACGGGAAACTCTCGTTGAATCGGGGCAAAAGGTGATGCTGACAACCACAAACATATTGAGACCCCGGGCTCCTCGCACTGGAAACTGGTTGGAGTTCCACCCAGGCAGCCGAAGCCTTCTCTTTCTGCGGTCGCAGCAAAGTTTCCACTTTTTTGCACGGGAAGAAATGTGGGCGCCCCTTGAGGGATCCCTAAGTGTAGCCCAGTTGAGCTTGCAGATGCATGCGACTTCGGCTTGATGACACCTCCCAGATTAGGTAGAGCATTGACCCATTTCCGGGCAGAAATGCAACTGACCGCGAAAGGTGATTATACTAGAGTCTGCCCACAAACATGCCTTGATTTCGGGAACATTTCCAACATTACCTTCTCAAATAGAAGCTTGTGCTGGGCGAAATCTCAAAGTTCACTTACAAATCTGAAATGAGGATTGCCAAAGCAACCTTGATCATGGGACCCCGAAGATTGCCAAACCTATAAGGCCGCGATTTGACTTACCCAGTTTGTCCAACTGCAGGGGGATGTGCCACCTAGTTGGCCAGTGACCCGAAAGGTAGGACAAGACTTGGGCTCCTTCTCGCGGTTTCCAAACCTAGTGGTTTTGAGGTTGGCATCTTTGGTGCTAAGGGACTCCACTGAACTGGGCTACTTCTGCCTCTGGCCTCTGTCCCCCCCCCAAAAAAAAACAAAAACAAAACAACAACAACAAAAAAACACACAAAACAACGCGTCTGGCCCGTCCAAGCCTGGCAGCGCCTGCGGATTGCTCGGACGGATGGGGGACCCCAAAACCAAGCGGTCAATGGGTTGGCAAAACTGGAAAGGCCGCCGGTTAAAAAGGGGTCTGGCAAGGTCCGGAAGATCTTCCGCACATGCACCAACTTGCCATGAGATATCAGGGCACCCCTTTTGTCCACTGAAGGTCAGTTACTAGCCTGGCAAACCTGTGACTCGCCTACCAAGCTGACTGCAAAGATCTGGTGACCCACAAACATTGGATGAATCAACAAGAAGCGCGTAGTTGCCTCTTCTTCTCTGACTCCCGTTGCGATCAATCACAGGTCTCACCATCATTCTATCACTCTGAGTGGACGGCCCAGAACAAGTCCAAACTTGTTGCTTACCACTAAAATGGTCTTCCCAAAAAGTTTTAAGTCCAGGAACTCAGCTCGGAAACTGAGATGCCCCAGCCAATTGGAAATACCCTCCCCCACAGCGTGCCCAGCTGTCATTGCGGTTGGAAGGCCTGTGGGAGAGTACCGTGCGGGTATGTGTCAAAACCCGGGGGGCCCTGTAAGAAGAGTGAATTTCCTTTTGGTATTCCTTCAGACTAAGCTTAAGAAAGGGGGCCCTCAAAACGAAGAGATGCAGGTTCAAACATCTGGTATGCAGGTCATGCGCTGCGAGATGCTCTCATTTCAGAACTGTTGCCCTAGATTTGCTGCTCTGACTGGCTGATTGACAGCCTTCCCGGAAAATCAGTTCCATGGCGACCTTGGTCAACTCAGCTTGCAAGTGGGAAAGGTGCAATGAAAACCACAAGCAGCGGCCGATGTTACACGCCTGCTGCGGCTGTGCCGGCTGCGTCTGCCACATAAGATCCACCCTTGGGCGCATGTCAGCCGGGGCCAAATTTGGAATTGGGTGTTAGTAGGTGGACATCGGGTATCCACTATGTTTCGGGGTGGGTCCCTATTCAAATTCACAGCCAATTTGGATGCTTCGTGGCCAACAAGCGCAGGCACGAAGCAATGGGGCATCCTGATAGGCCCAAGAGAAGCAAGGCTGCTTCTGGCAACTTGATACCACGACTGCTCTGAGTCTGCGGCCCCTGCTCCGGCTGGCACATCTGCATGGGCTGCATCTGCTGAAGCATTTGCTGCAGCATAAGCGCCTGCTGCATCTGCTGCATCTGCTGCATCTGCTGCGCCTGCTGCATCTGCGGCTGATTGCCCAACGCCGCCACGGGAGTGTACTGAGCGCGCGCCTGCAGGACACGGCGGAACCCAACTTGCATATGTCACTCTGAAGCTCTTTACGAAGAAACCACCACATGTGGGCCCTTTCCCACACACAGGGCAACGGCCCATGCAAAAAATCGCCCTTTGGCCGAACCAACAAATGATCCCTCCCGTATGACTACTGTACTGCTCACGTGGCCGAGCCCACCGCTCCCCCCAAATGTACGAAGAGTGGGCCCCGGGCCCCACCTCCGTCCAGCCATCTTTGGACTGGCCTTTGCCTGCCATGCGGGTCAGCAAATCGGCAACGAAGAACTCAGGCCGTTTCCAAGCAAATCTGAAGAACAAGGCTTCTTCAGCTTTTTTCTAGATACTAGTTGGGTGGTTTGGAATGCTGGATTGGAGGTTACGTGATGGTTTCCCATTTACCATCTACGACACAGAACTCACACAGGGAAAGTTCGGCCAGGCTGGCAAGGCTCTGATAGGCCCTGATCACAGCGGTACCTTCCTGACCCTTTTTTCCCTAGAGGATGTCCCCTTTCCATTCGTGCAAGGGCACCATTTCCAACACCACGGCACTTAGCGCAGCGGCAGAGCTCGCCTTTGCCTTTGCTTTTGCCTTTCCCCTTCGGCTTTGCCTGGCCAGGCCAATGGCGCCAAGCAACGCTTACCCTCCCACCAACTAACATGGGTTCGTGTAAAAAGGCCCTTTGCAAGATACCCTCTTTGGGCGCCGTGTCTGTGAAATCGACGGAGCCCCTTACTTTGGCCGATTTGGGTAAGCCCGTGACCGAAATGAAAACAGCACGCGAGGTGCTGAGCGTTGTTTCATGGGGATCTTCACATCTTCCATCATCTTCCTTACTTCACCCCAAGAACCCTCTCTCCCACTAACATTGCACCTCACAGGAGGTCCTTCCAAGAGGAGACTGATCTTCCAGTTGCCATGTTGGGAGGAAGGGTAGATTTTCACCATCTGCTGGGGGACGTGGGCTTGAACCCTGTTGGCCCAAACGAGTTCGACTTCCAAGCTTGAAACCACCCTTTCTTTGTAGGTTCTCAAAAAAATCAGCTCGAACTTTGAACTTAGAGTTGCAGTCTTCCGTTGGAAGGGAACGGCCATTCCCGCTTCAGTGATCGAAGGCTACAGGCCACACCATTCCGCGGAGGGCGCCGCCTTGTAAGTCCCCAAGCTAACATTGAACCGCCTCACTGGCTGAGTGGATGGCCCCCCAAAAATTAACCGAACTTTATATTTACCACTACAATGGTCCAAACCAAAAAAGTGACTAAAGTTCATGAACTCATGAAGTGAGAAAAGGGGGGCGCTTCAAAAGGAGATTGATCAAAGGATGATTGCTCAGTTGCCATGGGGCAAAACACCCGGACGCCCACTTCAAACTTCCTGCTTAGGCCTCAACAAACGTAGAACCGCTTCGGCAACAAAGGTACATCACGCTGAGTGGCTGGGACCCTGTCTAAGCAGGATCGACTGCGAATCACACACACACACACACTTTTTGGAAGCTGCCATCCGCCATGCCATTGGCAGCCCGCAAGCCAGGAAGAATTTTCTTAGCTCTTGGAGGGTTCTGCGAACCATTTTGGCGGTGTGTGTGTGTGCTAATGTTTGGCCCGACGACCTCTATCCGAGGACAACTTGTGTCAGGTAAACCTCGCTATGTTAGGTCCATCGGGGACCCCTTCCAAAGGGCCCAACACAAAGCGCATGAAACACGCAAAGGGGGCCGAAACAAACATTCCTCTATCAATGGCAGCATGTCAATCAGATGTGCATTCTCGTGTGGTTTGGCCGTTGGACTAGGTCCTCCAGTAGAGGGCTTAGAATAAGGGTACTTTTTTTTTTTTTTTCTGCAGTCCCTTTTAGTAGGGGGGTTTCCTCCCAACCAAAGGGGTGAGAAGGGCACTGGGGGACCGAGTGGAGCCTTGGACTGAAGATACACCCGAATCCAAGGCCTCCGGGGTGGGCTCCACGTCTCGCTCCCTGGCGTCACGCAGCTGGGCTGAACCCCTGCCTGACCCTTTGCGACCTGGAAGCAGTCAACACAGTGTGCATTGGAGGAATGGTCTGACAAGACTTTGGACTCTTTTGGTCTTTGATCTCAGCTCCAAGAGCCAATGCCGCTTTGCAGCAGAGCAACTCTGGCTCGGGCTGAAGCAGCCGTGAGAATTTCGTGAAGCCAGGAGTGCGTCTCACTGAAACCACCAGAACAGCCAATCCGTGGACAGCGTCACTTCCGCGTCGGGTGCGCGCTCCTTGCATTGGGCCCCAAATTGTTTGGGTTTGGCCTGCTTTGAGACCAAAACCTTCCTTGCCCAAATAACCTGGAAATAAAAGGGGATGACTTTTTGGGGCCATGACTAAAGTGGACCAAAACAGCAAAACAAAAGGTCGACTCGTTTTGGACAAGTGAGAAAAGAAGGTTGAATTGAACCACGGTTGTTGAAACCGCCCTGGCAAGCAGTCAATATTATTGTCAGCCGACGTGGGAATTTGGTGAGTGCCCCCCCCCCCCCTTAGGGCCTGCCTCAACATAGGGTAATTAACCCTAAAACAGGCCACTTCCTTTTGGCTTCCCTTCAAACCAGCCAAAAAAACAAACAAAAACCGGATGCCATGACCCCCGAAGAGGCAGCCCATGTCTCAAGCCACGGCCGGTCGGCCCTGGTCAGCCCTCCTCGTGCACCGCCCGTACCACTCCAGGCCACTGGGGAGAGAAGTCATGGCCCGCCACCAGCACCGGGGCATTTTGGCGAAGCTTGGGCACCCAGGCGCCCAAATCTTCCTGGAGCTTTCCCTTTGGGTCGTTGGAATTTTCCCTGACTAAGGCTTTCCCGTTTGCTTTTCCGTGTCAGTGCAATTGATTTTCTGAGTTGTTGATTGTTTTTCTTAGTTGTTGATCGAGAGCCATCTTTCGGTGCATGATTAGGACCCACCTCGATCAAGGGTTTCCCATTTTGCCTCCCAGATTGCCCCGAGGACTAAAGCAAAGGGACAACAAGGTTGGGCCAACAAAGACGCCTCATCAGTTTCTGTGCTCAATAATCTGTTTCTAGTTCAATTGGCTCGGTAAAGGCCAGAAGTGACAGAACGAGAACTGAAGAGGCTCCAAATTCATCGCATCGGGGGGGGGGGGTCCTCAAAATCTGAGTTTGGGGGTTTGTCCGGACCTTGTCGACCTTGTAGCAATTGGGGGCCGTTTCCTCTTGGTTTCTTTAGATCCTGAAAAGGAAACACACTCTCTGGTCGGTCGGCGCCCGAAAAAACACGCTGCCCCCCAACAAGATTTGTGGTTTTCGCTGCGAGTCCACCTTAATCGTGTTGATGCGATTGAAAGCTGAACACTTGCTTTCAGCCCAGGGGCACAAAAAGCTGTTCTGCCATGTCCTTACACAACTCTGAGCTCCCTCTATGGCAAACTTGGCTCCCTTGCAACCACTAGGGATGTTTTCTCCAACCAAAGGATTTGTTCTCCACGAAAACCGCCGTTGCCAAAGGCACACCGCCATGGTAGATTTTCGGGCCGTCCACCAGCAACCACGAAAACAACTCCTGCCAACCTTTTGTTTGGGAAGGGGGGTCAAACATGGGGGCGGGGGATTTATTTAACTTCCAAACCCGCTCTTTGATCCCTTAGTTGACAAGTGCGATACGGCTGTGGCTCAAAAATGTTACCCAAAATGGAAACAAAGACTAAGCCCGCATAACCCTAATTCACAAGGAAGCTCCAGCAATACTACATCACATGGAATGTCAATTACCCAAATACCACAGTACTAAATCGAATGGATACTCAAATATTGACATCTCAAAGGAGCTCTTTGAGTTTGAGTCACACCCATATGTCTCGCAAGGCCATGGGCTCCTTGACGCAGTCGTAGAGGTGGCACCCGTCGATGAAGACCGCGTCCACGGAGTCCTCAGGGAGACTCTGAGCCGCTTCGGTGGAGCCCATCGGGAGCAGCGCGGCACGGGAGCCGTGGGACTCGTAGAGCCTGGGGGTGGGGGCTTTGGGAGGGGGGGAAGGGGTCAAGTTGGGTTTGGGGGTTGGGTTGGGTTTGGGGGAGAGCGGGGTGGGTCAGGTTGGGTTTTAGGGGGGGGGAGGGGGGGCGGGGTTGGGGGGTGAGGGAGAGATGCTGTGAGTTGGGAGAATCAAACTGACGAGGGACACCCGGCACGAGAAGAAAACGCCTCACAACATGAAACATTGCCCTGCCTGCAGTCTCTGACCCTAGCCCCCGCAACAAAAAAAGAAAACGGGTTTCGAAGGAATCTTGACTCAGAAACCCAAAGAACTCAGAAAGAGCAGGTTCAGCTTTTGGGGCCATGACTGGAAATGGGAACCCGAAAAGGGGGAACTAACGGGTGAAGAGGTCGATTCGCTTTGGGCTTCAAGTTGCCGTTGGTGTCTTAAAGAAAGGTATCGCCCTCTTTCGGATGGTTTCTTCACACCCAAATCAAGCCAATCAGTTGCTTGCTGGTTCTCAGATGGGAATGAGAAATGGAATGACCGGCGAGAAAAGCCATCCCCGATTTGGTTTCAAAATTCGGGAATCCCAAAATGGTTCATTTCCAGCACTGGAGTTGTTGTCATTCCCTACTTCAAGGCGCGATCGGGTACGTAATGAGGGTTAGTAAGCCTGGTGAAATAACCCAAAGAGCAGAGAGACTGAAAAAACCAGGCTACAAAAACCCCTTACCTGACGTACCCTGCTTCTTTAAGTGGGGCTTGATCAATATTCTCTTCGGCCCTCAATTTTGGCCACGGATAACTTTTCTCCAACCTTTTTCGTGGCTTTCCAACCCATGGTCATCATATGTTCATCGGACCTATGGATCAATCCAAGTACCAGGACCCCCCCCTATCAGGACCCTGTCAGGTTCCATGTTGGTGGGATAAGCACCTGGACCTTTAAGTACTCAGCAAGGTTGAGAAACACCCACCCACCGGACTCGGATCGATCGACTCGACTCGCCTGGAGGCCTGGGCCAGAGCAACTCGAGGGTCCAGCTTTTCCTCGAGTGCAAAAGGACTCGACGCCAGTTTCCAACGTTTTCGCCTGAAGAAAACACACAGCAACAATGGATTTGCTTGAAAACCAGCGGTATTGTTCTCTTGAATTAAGAAAACCGACTTAAGCACATGGAAGGAACTAGACACCTTGAGTTCATCTTTTGGGAGCTTGACTAAGAGTAGACTCACTTCCGATCGAGTGGATGGTCAAACACAAAGTCCAAAGATTTGGTTTCCACGAGCATCGTCTTCCCGAAAAGCAGATGCACACCCTAAACCCTTGCTAAATCCATCCTACACCTATCCTAAATCCACCCTGCACACACCCTAACCCTAAACCCAGCCTTCACCAACCTCAACTCTATCCCAAGCTCGAAATGCCTGCTCATTCGAGCAAAGCTGAGTTTCGAGCCTCCTGGGTTTGTGGGCACAAGGGAGCCCAAAAGGAAACAACCCCCGAGACACGCCCCTACAAGCGGCCAACCGTCTCATAGGTGTCTTTCTTGACAAAATAGATGGCGGTAGATGATTGAACTACCAGTTAAACCAGGTGGTACCCCTCTATTTTTTAAGCAAACCCAATCTGAGTTTCGAAGTGCCCGGGGAAGGTCTCCGCGCCCACGTAGGGATCCACCCCCACCAGGCGCATGAAGCTGCAGTGCTCCAGCAGGAAACCGCTCAGCTGGCCCACGAAGACCCCCACCTGATACCAGCCACGAGTTCTGTGTCAAACGGATTTCTTGATTATCCTAGAACGACCTTAAAAAGAGATTACCCCCCCCCCCCCCAAAAAAAAAAACAACAACAACAACACACACACACAAAACAACACACACGCATAAAGAGTTTGTGCGCCCCCGTGTTTTCAGGTGGTTTGGCCGGGTTACTCTTCAGGATCTGCCCTGTACGGTTCGAGCTCATGGATCCGGGGGCAAACCGGGCGACAATTTAACTTGAGACCCAAGTCTTTTTCAGGTTCTTGGACATCTTGCAAAATGTGCAGACATCCAACGCCTTCCTTTACCAGGATTTGACGATCGATCCTCTTCAGCTGGAAAAAGGTGGTTTTGTAACCGGGCCAAATGTACCTGATCTCCGGAACTACATGCCCAGCAGAGACCGAACATGTGCAAAAGCGTGTAGCTGCAGGGGCGAACTAAAGAATTGAGTGGTGTGTGTGTGTGTTGGTTCAGGTTTCGCCGTTGGCTTGCTTGGTCATGGCCAATCTGGCATGTGGATATTTTTGTAGCTTCTTACTAACTGGAAGGCCACATGGCCTATGGGCAAAGCAGCCCAAAACAAAAACACCCGCCGTCTTTAGGCTTGGTTTTGGAGCCAAACGGAAGACTCACCATTTGCGATTTGTTTAGCGCCCAGAAACGCTGATATCTTGGCCCAACCCCACACCCAAAAAAGACGAGTCTCAGATTCTGCTGTTTCATACTCGGTCAGCTACAAAATGCGGAGAAGAGGAGACCTCATCTGCAGGGAGGTTTCTTCTGGGATGCACCTGAACGCTAGGTTCACGAGACGTGGACAGAACTGTAGCCCATGGCCTTAGCTGAGTTGCACGTGGGGGTTCGGGAAGGGGGAGGTCGAAAATAGTTTTCGCCCTCAACCATGAAGCGCAGGAAAGTAACGGACAGCGGAGTACAAGGCGGCCCGACGCATCTTGCGGGAGACCAAATGGCCATGGGTCGAAATCCCGTACTTTCAGTGAACATCTCAATCCCCACTAAAATAGGTTCTAAAATAGGTGGTGCACCTGCCCCAAAATAGGATCCCATTGGTTTTGACCCACAGCCAAATGGATTTCCCAAACCCTCCACAAAAAAAATCGCGCACGTACTGATCTTCCGGCTCCCGCCTCGACGACCACCAGCTCACCCCCGCCGCGCCGGTCGCGCAGCTCTCGCAGCAAGGCCGCAAGCACCTGGCGCGAAACTCTTCGCCGGTGGCCGAGGGTACC